GCTCATCATCGACAAACCGGGATATACTCTGATACTCTAAAAAGTATTTTATAAAAACTAAAAATTAAGTTCATCAAAAGCTATTTCCTTCTAAATGGAATCTAAAAACAGGATAATAAAATAACTAGATATAGGTACCATGATATCAATACATAATTATTTTGCCATTCCTCCTAAATGTCTACGTATAAAACTAAATATGAATTAATCAAAATTAAAATTACTATATTTTTTTTAATTATTCGTTTTTTTTTTAATGATAATTTATTAAAGTAAAAAATCCATTCACAAATTAAGTAGAGTACCTATTYCCCGTATGAATGGTTCACAGGTAAAAGGAAATACTTAATTTAATTTAAATCATTTTTTTTTTTTTTGCTAGTTATCTTGTGAAAAAATTGTATACCGTATTTTTTCACACTAAAATGTAAGTTATTTCTCCCGAATATAAAATTTAAATTAGCTGTAAAAATTAAAAACCATTATAGTAAATAATATGAAAACCAGACTTTCTTTCATTTTTAAAAAAATAGTAATTTCTATTTAAAATACTTCGAGTATTTCCTTTAAYCGTTGTATTTTTAATTATGATCATATTTTATCAATAATATATTAGTAGTTAGGAAATATCATTGTATAGTTTAAAAAAGTTATCAATAAATGGATTGGCTATCTCCCATTAAAATGCATTGAAAAAGAGTATTGGATGAAACATGTCATTTTAAATAGATTTATGAACTCAGATGTCATATTTAATAATTAATACATACCACAGAATAAGAGAATTATTTTGCTGTTCAGATGAGTGAGTGAATATTATGAATATTTAATCGTTTAGATATCCAACTCCCTTATCAAACATATGTACTGTAAGCACGGACCTTTTTGACGATAAAAAGTTTGTAATATTTATGATTTAAAAGTGGATTCAGTTTATCTAATTATTATTATCTATATCGATGTAGTAAATCTCAATAATAAATGCATGGCTATCACTGTCTGGTCGTTGATAAAGTATCTAATTGAATATTCCTCTTAAATTGATCTATATTATGGAAAACTACTATTGTTATTGTTAAAAAAATAAAAAAAATATTACCAACATGAAAAAATCAATAGATTTAACATCATATTATAATTATATATATATGATATTATATATGTACAAACAAAACTTTATGGTAAAATATATCAYTAGAATATCGGTAATAAAAGCACCTATTATATTTTTATTATGAAATTGAGATTAAAAAAAAAAAAAACWAATTTTACGATATTTGCTATAAACCACTTAATTACTTAACCACCTACTATCATATGCATTTTGAAAATTAAACTAAGTTAAGTGGAAAAGTATACGAACATGACGAACTAACCAATATTTTATCAACACACGTCGATTATAAATACACGGTATAATTTTAATTCAGAGATGCGCCTACTTTGATTAACATTTGAAATTCTATTAATTTAATTTAAATACATCATCTCAGTGTATGTATCCACGTCTATTGCATTAAATGTTTTCAATATTAATCGTTTAGAGTTGAACTTTTCACAAAATTTTAAATTCAATAAATATAAGTACCTTCCTACCTATTTCTACTTATTTAATTTCCAACCATCCTAAAAGATAAAATGTTGAAAACGTTTATATTAAAAAGTACCATACCAATTTTCATTACARCTTGAATTATATTTCTGTATATTCTAACTAACATAGTTTCACCGTACACATAGGGAGTAATCAAGTCGTATACACTTTGATTCTGTAAATGGAATACGCAAATATGTGTTGGAAACTCAACAAAAGAGTAATTACTTACAATTAGGATGATATGACAAAATACATGATTCGTTATTGCTCGTGCAATTATTTTTCATAATAACAATAAAAGATATTAAGCTACGACAATAAATTAAGATCTAACTAGACATAATRTTAACCTTGAAAACATATGTTTTTGAATAACTATTAGATGTTTATTATATTATACGTTAAGTATATAACTATGAAATATAAAATTAAACTTATTAGTTATTACAGATACACTGAAMAAATTGAAAGACATCATTAGTTATAATATTATTTGYCTCTCAATATTTAATATCTAGGTACTAATATTATAGTGTTATACGATTATGGGTCGATTTCGAAACCAGTTTTTTACATTTAAAATTATTCAAGAGTTCTTAGTTCCTACTCTGCAGTATTGATTTGCTCGTAAAAGTAACTTACAATTCACACACGAAATCTACTAGATCAAATTAAAACAATAATTATTTGCTTTCACATCTCATTAAACTATCCTAAGAAATCGTGTAAAATCAAGGCTGCAACTTATTAACTTTATTTTAATAAATATTTATCTATCTTAAATATTTATTGTAAATAYCTGATATCTATAACGTGTATTGATATTGAGTGAATCTAATAAAATAACAAGTATAWATCAAAAATTATGAATAGTTGGTTATATATTGTATTTTAGCTAATTATAGCTTAAAATAGTGAGAAAAAAATAATATTTATTAATTCTATTAGACAGTAGTTTAAAAAAAAAAATTGCTGAATTTTAAGAGTTATATAGTATATACACACTTGCAAAATACAATAATTATTTTGATGTGAATATTTAGGATTCCCAGCATTAACTATTATTTAAAAATAAATTTCAGTCAAGGACATCGACTTTAATTAATTATTTCAAAATATGATAAAAAATACTAATTATATTATTATTTATAATGTAGGTAATGATGTTCTTATTATTTTTATGTACCTAGTAATAAGTAATAATATTTTCTATCTGAAAATAATATTGTAACCTACCTATCTGATGAATAATTTTTATCCAATATTTATTGCAATAAATTCTGCTTTRTGTCAATTTTTTATTAGCTCGTAAAATACTGAATAATAATAAAAATTTTAATAATTTATTACTCTACATTATATTAATAACATATCGAATTTGCTTTATTTAAAGACAGTGTAATTTCGTTATTATGCACATGCGAATAATAATTTAATAGGCAGGCACTGTTTTGGTCATTTCAAAATCTATATCARTTAAAAACTGTTATAGGTAGGCATATACAATTTCATTTTTAATAACACAACTGTTAATCACCTTAAAGTATTTTACCTTTTTTAAAGTGATTTAATTACTATTCCGGTACGTCAGTACCTTCATAATAGATACCTATTTATTCAGTGTTATTATTTATTATATGAAAAATCAAAATTCTAAAAAAATAATTATTGTATAGATAAATAAAATAATATAATATACAATCGTACTTTGAAATACGACGAGAAAGACTATRCAGTGGGTATAGTTTTAAAAAAATGTTTAAAAATTTCACTTAGACTAAACCATAAAGTTATTATAATATATTTATATGAGAAGATAAAAGTATTATTTTTAACGATATAACACGGATTTGTTTGTAAGATCATGATATAAATCATCCAGGTATACTTTTTGTCGAATAAAGGGACAGTGAATAAAATAAGTTTGAATAATGCATATAATATATCGTATAAGCTAAACTAAAAAACCATTAAGAAGAGTAAGAAAAAATTAATATCAACAAAATACATTTTTATATGAACAAAAAAATATTAATAAAACAAACAAACAATTTTGAAAAATCAATAAAATATAGGAATAAAAAAAACTAGTACAATATAAATAAAAGTGCGAACAATAATACATTCATCGCTCTACTCAGAATCTAATTTGGAATGGGCTTAAATAGTATACAAAAATAAATTATTAAAAAATAATACGATATAGAGACATTAAATTTAAATACTGTAATAGGTGCATATTTAAAATGAAACAAAAACAAGTATGGACCGTCAATAATGGTTTTCTGTAGAATAAAAYAATAAAAATCGATATTTTAAATGTTTTGAAAGAGGGAATAAATATATAGATACAATATAAAGAATTCAGTGATAGCATTAATTTTAGATACTCACAAAAAATAAATTGCTGAATATCGTAGATGACAACACGAAAATCAAAAAATACAAATACCTATGTCCTATATACAGTTTACATAGATAATACAATATTACTTATCTTTTTACATAATATTGTAGCCAGAATGTGTAGAACTTAACAAGCCAAATAATTGAATGTTTTAATTATGAGATTAAAATAATAATTTATACGTAGTCAAATTTCATTTTACGCGATATAATTCAATCGCCACTTGCAATAGAAGTATTTTATAACTTACTAATGTTTTTTTCACACGTGTTGCACACGCGTGTGCGCATTTATGGAAATCCTAACAACAAAAATTCAAATATCAACATGTGTCTTTTGATACAAAACAAAATGAAATATAAGCATAACAATAATAACTTTTGTGAAAGGCTTCGGTAATACTATTTTTTATTATATAATCTATATTATTATTGAAGTATAAAGGTTTTCTTTTATGAAAATAAAAATGCATAATTCTCAAATGTTATAGTCTATGTCAGCTATATATTACATTAAGCTTATTAAGCTTATTGTCACACTCAATAGTTCAAAATTGAAATAAAGTCACATGAATTTTATTTATTTCAATGCATTCGTGTATAATATARGTAAACTAAAATGCAAAGTTATCTACAACTCTTACATTAAATCATTCTTGAGTTATTAGAGAAAATTACTTTCTAGTTTAAAAAATAACACAATTAAAATGCAATTTGAAAGACATACATATAAAATTTTTTTTACTATTTGAGTTATTCAAATTAAAAGTATCAGCGAAAAACTTAGTTATGACGTAAGTACTGACGTTATTTAAAAAAAAAATGTATCCGTAGTTACTGAATATTCAAAATATAATATTTTTTCTACTTAACTGTGTGGATTGAGTTTCTCGTCACGTACAAATTCGATTTTCTTTTCATTATTATTAAATTAAAAACCTCATTCTCATTTATTGTATTAAATAAAAAATACGATTTTCGAATAAACTCCACATACCTTTTACGTTCTGTTTTCGGCTCTTTAATCTACGAACCAGAAAATGTCAAGACTGTATTCGCATTCGTTGCAGCAAAGTTTATTGTCTGGTACAATCCAAAAACGGTGATAGTGTGCTATATAATACACTTAGGTCTTATAGGTACGTAAAGCCTAAAATATCGCGAATGCAACTATTAAAAAACCAAAGAGAATAAAAAAACGGTAGTACAATACTAATTGAACCGACGACACCGGTCATTTATACGGTAGTATCACGTCTATTATCAAAACGCATCCGAATCGAACTTTTTCAATAATATCACTGTGTTATTAAAAATATTATGATTATGGTGGATCAACGAGTTTTGTTATCGGCGTACCATAAACGAACAACGGCTAAGTGGGCACTGCGCGAACGACAAATTTAACAATAAAAACATTATGTTGCATACGGCAACGAACGGTTCACGAACCGCTGGGGTGTTGTGATTTGGTTTTTTTTTCTCAATGGTAGTGGTAAAATCACAGTGACGTAGCACCACGATAATGTGCTGTGTGCATGTGAATACCAATAGTGCAGATAGCTTGCTTATCGCGATGCGCACACGTGTAAGTAAAACAACAATTATGTTATTACTACATGTCGAATGTCGGAACAACATTTATCTGAGTTAAAAAAATAGGCAGAGACGATTAGATTGCTATTTTCATAATTTATTGAAATATAATTGTGAGTGTGAGTGTATGTGTGAATGTGAGTTTTTAAAAAAAAAATTAAGTAGTCGGTTTGATCGTCCATGACGCAGAAACACAATTTTCTAATTTGTATTTGTAAGTAAAGGGCTCGCGAATCCATCTCGTTAAAAACCACAACATTACAAATGGCAAATTCATCTCGTTATCGGTTTTATTTTTAGAAGGTTCCGTCGTATTTTACTGACTGAGTTAATTACCTACTATTAAAACATACAGTAATGTTCATTAAAACCCACAAAGCAATCACCAATAAAGAATGGGTTCAATTGTTATTTAAATAACAGCTATAGACGTACCTACTGTAAAAGAACAATATTATAAAATATTTAACACAATATTACATTCACGAAGACGTTGGAATTTAACATCATAAATATTAAAAAATCGCGTGGGTATCGTGAAATTAAAATGAAGATTTAATAATATTAATAACATTTCAATACCTTCTACAAGTCATACGATACTRTACCAACTGTAGCTGTTATCGTAAATGGTCAAGTTGTTCGACTATCTGTAATGATTAGTAATAAAATGTAATAATATGTACTCAA